CCGTATCGAGGTAAGCCATTCATCCCAACGTATTCCTAGTGATTTGCGCGGTTTCCTAACTGAGTGTGATAGACTTGTATATCGACCTTATCGCTGCGGCATACTGCCATGGGCGGCGGCCATATTAGGCAACTAGAGGATCTCCGCGCCCCGATGGCGGCCATACTCGGCCACATCGCCAAGCAAGTGGCTGATGCGCAAAGATATAGGGCCAAGTACGGCCCCCTCGAAAGTTCAGATGAGGGAAGCGACACAGAACAAGAATAGCGAAATGCGTTCTATTTTGCTTCGTCTCGACCTACAGAATCCTATACTACAGTACAGCCTGATGACGACCTCATTGACCTGAGCCCCTAGTGGCATAAACTTGGTTACATTCTATCTGGTACAGCATTATACTATATTTTTATTCACCTGAAATGCGCTACGAAATCATTTCTTAACGGCAGCAAGGGACGACTTGTTTTGTTTCAGTCCGAGGAGGACGGATGGTGGGAGGGGGATGGCGTTTCCTAGGAGCAAGCATACCAGGATTATCAAAAGGAATTTGTTTTACCGTGGGAGGTCTCTGGCCTCCATCATGCCTTATCTTGAATACCTCTATACCTAAGAAGGATTGGTTGGCGATACTTTTGGACCGTAGCATTGGCTTGCTACGACCATCGATTACAGTGTAATATCCGTATCGGGCGTTGTGGCATTTGAAACGGGTTGGCTTGAAGCAAGGAGTAAACAAGCTCGCCGAGCGTTGCAGAGCCGGGCTTACCAACAAGTTAGTGGGAAGGGGTGGCTGGGTTATTATTAATTGATGACACCGTCATGAATATACTTTTTGAGAATATCGTCGACTTTTGCTTGAATTACAAGTGAATTTGATATATGATATGTACGTCTCAAGCCTGGACCTAAATTATCAAGATAGACGTGAAGGGAACTTTACACCGTCTGCAGACTGAGCTCCGAAACAGTGCACGTAGAAACGTAAGTAGTTAGCCAAATGTGTAGATTGGCGACATTGACTACCAATCCGGAAGTATCGTTAACCTTATTCAGACGAGTTGGTCTCCGTATACTGGTAGGTAATCTCTTTAGCCCCGAGTCACCGCCTGATGGAAGAGAGAAGTCGCTGTCTAGACTTCAGCCACAGCGACTAACACGTTAGTGGTAGTGGGCTGTTCCGCAGTACCGCCTACGATGCCTAGTCCCGACGGCGGAAATGAGGCTCGATATGGCCCTTGCATCCGCTTGGAATCTACAGGTGGCTTGCTGACCCAGGTGCCTGGTGCTCGATTCCATTCTAGAGCGGCCTCAGCCCTACCAATAGGTCGGTAGACCCCGGTCGGGAACCCAGTCGCGCCCCCCGGCCCCTGGCTGGGTGGTTCTTCAGCTCGCGAGATGCAGGTACGTGCTATCTGGATGTGTACAAGTACGTCGAGGGGCCGGGCCTGAGCCTCCGTATCCCCTGATCAAAACAGCTTCACGATGTGGTCTGTAGATGTATATAAGGCTCAGTGATAACGAGAGAAGGTCCAACAAAGCAATCCTCCCTCACATCTTCAACATCTTCCTAGGTCTTCAACTCTCGCTCTATCCAAGAGGCTAACACATAACACCTCTTATCACCCCCTATCCTATCGTCTATTCTTCGCTCCTAGTGTGCACGGGACTCCCCAACCACCGCCATGCCTCCACTACAAGACCAGAAGCCAAAAGGCGACAGCGAGAAGAAGCCAGACAGGAAAGAAGCACGCTACTCCAAGTGGTGGGTGACCGGCCTGTCCTTCTGCGGCCTCACGGCGTCGTACTTCTTCGGCTCGGCGCGCTTCGCCCCCGCACCCCCCGGCCTCCAGGCCTGTCTTGACAAGGTGTGCGCGGGCCGCGGGGACTGCGTGCGGTTCTCGGGCGAGAACAACTACGCCTACTATAGGGACTGGATCCATCCCTGGAACCTCGCGCTCGAGGTCGTGCCGGCGGCTGTGGTGAGGCCGGGTAGTGCGGAGGAGGTCGCGGGTGTTGTGAGGGGTGGGGTGGAACATGGTGTGAAGGTGCAGGCGAAGTCGGGGGGTCACTCGTATGCGTAAGTTTTCTTGCCTTGGGGAAAGGAAGATTGTTAAGGCTAAGGCTGGGGCTTACTGTTCATAGGAACTATGGTAATTCTCTCCTGACCCCTGTTTGTCGTGCTTGGATAGCTCACGCTGTGTTGGATAGGCCTTGGAGGACGGGATGGCGCCATCTCTATCGACTTGGTCAACTTCCAGTATGTCGACCCGGACAGGACTGAGGGCTCGTGGCGGGCTCGCGTCGGAGGCGGGACTAGGCTGGGGATGGTTGACAAGGTGCTCCATAAGGAGGGCCGGTCCTTTGCTCATGGTGTCTGCCCTGGTGTTGGAATAGGGGGTCATGCGACTATTGTGCGTTGTTTCTTCCTGCTGGGCGGTTCACGCCCTCAGGATAGTTCCTTGGTGTGATGCTGTACTTGCTAACTGCATTCCAGGGCGGGTTGGGCCCGATGTCTCGCATGTGGGGGACTACGCTGGATCACATCGACGAAGTAGAGGTCGTCACGGCAGACGCGCAGATAGTCCGAGCGAACGCACACAACAACTCTGATCTGTTCTACGTACGTCCATCCTTCCCTTCACTCCTCTCCTCCCCCTTTCCTTCCCCCTCCACGACCACAAACCCTGGATAAAACAAGCCATGCTCATACACCGATATCTCCCAGGCCGTGCGAGGCGCCGGAGCCGGCTTCGGCATCGTGACCGAGTTCGTGATGAAAACCCACCCGGCACCCGCGGACGTGATCCACTACACGTACCACTTCCAGTTCAGCCGGCTGCCAGAGCTCGTGGACATGTTCGTCGCGTGGCAGGCGCTCGCGGCCGACGCCGCGCTCGACCCGCGCCTCGGCACCGAGTTCTACCTCTGGACCGGCGGCGCCACCGTGTCGGGCACCTTCTACGGCTCCGAGGCCGAGCTGCGGGCCGCCGGCATCCTCGAGCGCCTGCCGCGGGGATGCGACGCCGCGGCGCTGCGCCGCACGTCGTGGGATGGGGGGTGAAGGGAGGGCGCGGCGCGCGAGGCGCTGTACGCCGCGGACGTGCCGTGCAAGTTCCTCTCCAAGAGCCTCGCCTTCACCCGCCCCGGCAGTGGTAGTAGTGGCGACGTCCTGTCGCGCGCGCAGGTCGAGGACTTGTTCAGGTGGGTGGATGCCCAGGACAAGGGGACGCACCTGTGGTCCGTCATCTTCGACGCCACGGGGGGGGCCGCATCGCCGAGGTGCCGGCCGAGAGCACGGCGTACGCGCACCGCGATAAGTTCATGTTCTACCAGTCGTACGGCGTCAACGTGTACGGCGACAACGCGGCCACGAGGGACTTCCTCACGGGCTTCCACGAGAAGCTGCTGAGCATCCTGCCCGACCGCGCGCACGGCACGTACCCTGGTTTTGTCGACCCTGAGCTGCAGCGCCCGCAGGAGGCGTACTGGATGGGGAACCTGCCTAAGCTCGAGAGGATCAAGGCGAAGTGGGATCCGACGGACTTGTTCCATAATCCTGGGAGTGTGAGGCCTGTGGTCTAGGGGGGTTGTTAGATGGTTGTATATATGCTGGGACTGGAGATGTGGTACATTGCAACAAGTGTATAAAGAATATTACCTATTCATAATGACAGGTTGAGGTCACCCTGTAACTTAATGGTTAGAAGAAGAAAGCATGGAGTGACAAATCTTGTGTTATTAGTTGATTCACGGATTCTCTTTATCTACCAGAACTACATCAAGTCTAATTTAGATATCAATAATGAAAATCAACTTCATAAATCGCGATCTCTACTGAAGACCCTGGTTGCAGAAAGAACAGACTTAATTGGCATAGTATTCTGTGTACATAAGACGAGAGACGATAATGAAAATCAATTCCTGCAACAAAACACATCACAAAAGACTCATTCGCTACCGCAACCTTATATCTTATGAATTCCAAGTTCATAGACTTGATTATCTATCACACTTATTCCATCACACGTCGTTTTTCCCTTTACAAGCATCTCCTACATGTCCTACACAATCCTTCTTTAACTAATGTATCGTAAGGTCCGTCCTTGCGCCCACACTTGCCGAACGATTTATTCGACTTCATCACGCCGAAGCACTTGTGCTTGATGCCATTTTGGGTTGATGTAGTGGTGCCACATAAAGTGCAGCCGAACCGTTTATTTTCTGAGTAGCACATGTTTTGTTTGTGATGTAGAGATTTGCTGCTTATTGTAAATCTTAATTCTACTGTTGCAGATTTGCATAGGATCTTCTAAAGGTCATCTTGAATTGCCTGGGATGGCCTCATATGTGTTTATATAGATAGTAGCAATATATTCTAATTAGACTAAAGCTCAAATAATTAGCCTGTACCTGCTTTGTGTCAGCAACTAGCCTTTGACATTGCATTGTTTAAGTGCACAAATATGGTTGATGCTCTTTTGGAGTAGAGAAAGATGCGAAATTCTCATCAAAGGGTACTAAACAATGTAGTTACTAAGTGTGCTCATGTTATTACCTTGCCCCGGCTTTCTTAGGGCTGTCCTTTGTGTTATGGGCTAAGGATAGTAAGACGTGAAAAGGGGTAAGTTAGTAGTTGAAAAATCTGAGCTCTAGCACTGTGATGTAGAATACCTGTAACATACTACATCCCAATTACATGAAGGATTAATTGATTAATTCCTGAAAGGAGTGGCGATAGTATGAGAGGAGTTCAAACCAAGATCTCAACACTAAAAAGAAAAATCGTGAAGTGTTGGCCGTCAAACGGTAGGCAACACACCAAATTCACTAGCATAACCAACCTTCCCTTATTTAAGATAGGGTAAAAATGGTAAGATATTTATCTAGTCACTATATAGAAAGAGGGAATGTGCAAAATAAATATTCAAATAGAAAACTAGGCATAAGCAAGAGACGCAGTAAATGTAAAGAAATAAAGGGGAAAAAAACGAAAAAGGAATTGCACCGGCCGGGATTTGCACCCGGGTCTTTTCCTTCCTTGCCATAGAGAATGGGAGGGAAATGAGTTAACTACTACTCTACCGGAGCCATTGCGTGTGTGTTATGAGATGTCTCGGTCTATTGATATCTATTAACCTGCCATCGAGGTTGCCTCGGTTGTTTGCTCTGACGCGTTGGTCGCTACGCAGCACGCAGAAGCACGTGCAGGGAGCGAGGTACGGGAGTACCTACCTGCCTGGAGTTCCAATGTACTGTTGATTCACATGCAGGCAAACAAACGTCATATAAGGCAGCTGTAATACTATTCTAGATATGGGAGCTGCTCCTAAGTACATGTGCAATGTACTTCCCTCACGACTTGAGGGAGGCAGCCTACATGACGTAAGCAGCTAAAATCCTCCAAGATGCGTGAGGCCGTGGACAGCTTGGAAGGGAAAGCTATGCCCAAGGACAATTAGGTAGGCATGTTAGATGGTAGTCCTTGTAAGTCCTAGTTACCGCGTCTATGTGTGAGGCTAGCAACCATATATGCTTTTGCTTGCAACCCGTCTGGCACACTTCGGGTAAGAAGTATAGCATGTAACCCTCTAAATATTTGTGAAAATTATAATAGTTATTGCTGCCATAAGTCACGTACTATAGACTGGTGCTCTATGTGCAGTGGTGGGTGTGCGGTTGCCTGCGTCTGAAAACCATCATCTACTGGCTGATATTACATACCACGCATTTTGGCCGGTCATGTTATAGATGTAGGTATACTTATACTCCTTACTGAAAGACAAATACTTGAGCATAAGATGGAGATTGAATAGAGCTATTTGCAGGCATTGTAGCACAACAACATTAAAAGAAGCAGACTAGAAAAATAAAGATAGTCCAATTTGTCTATTTATTGTTTTCATTGCTGATTTTCAAGGGGTATAACTTACAACATAACGGCATTACTTGGTACAAGGCATTTATCGCCCACTGTCTATACGCACTTCCAGAACATCTACCATATTCCCCCCTTCATCTTTCCCATTATCGCTCTGGCCACACTAGAGAAGCCTATACCACAAACTCGCCAACAGATCACCACATATCCCCAGGTGCACCTGATCTGGGGTCCCCATACTAGTGCATTATTGAGATAGGCTGAGAGGGTATATATGTATATGCAGCCCAGTCCCGCCAAGCATATCCTCTATAATTTGGACAGCCAAATCCTCTTATAACTCAGGAGATTATGTCGGGTGCTCTCATGATCCTGTCAGCTTCCTCCACCAGCTACTTCGGGGTGTTGTATCCATGAATACCGCTGCTTCGCGCTCCCGCTGGGCCTTGTCTCCGCTACCATCAGACCCGCCCACCCGACGTTCTCGGCGCTCGCGCTCTTCGCGTCGTGCACGCCTTCGCCGCTGGTCATCCTCATATTCGCCGTCCCTTTCCGCGTCGCCGTATCTCTCTCGTCGACGGGCAGCTCGACGAGCTGCTCGCCGGGCTTCCTCGTCATCTGTGGTCGGACGAACATCCGTCGCTCGTCCATCGTCTGGGGGCGGTCCCGCATCTGAATGCTCCTTTACCCAAGAGCTCGTACCTGAGTGTGGCCACGTTGGCGTCCTTTTCTTGCCACGTTCGTCGTCTGTGTGCCTAGAAGACCTTTCTCGGGGATACACGTAATTATCTCTGGGCACAGATCGATCGCGGGGCGCTTTTTCAGTCCGTCTAGGGTCGCGTCTTCGTCGTCGCTCATCCTCGTCTTCGAACCCCTCCGCGTGTCGCATACGTCGTCGCTCGGCTCGGGCAGCTCGACGAGCTTCTGCCTCTGCTTCCTCAGCAGCAGCGGCTTCTCTCTCAGACCTGCGGCGGCGGCGTTCTGATTTCTCGGCCTCTCTGGCTTCAGCTTCCTGGTTCGCGAGTCGTTGGGCCTCACGCTCTCGCGCGGCCCTACGCTCTGCCCGTCGAGCTTCTCGCTCTTCTTGCCGACGTGCGTCTTCCTCTTCTTCCTCCTGACGCCTGCGCCTCTCACGGCGAGCGTCTTTCGCGTGCCGAGCCTCTTCTGCCTTTTCTTGTTCTCTCATCGCTCGGCGAGCGGCACGCCGAGCTTCACGATCAGGGTCCATTTCCGGCTCCATGTTACTCATTCCTCGCGTACGCCTTGCCCGCTTATCAGGTCTCCCCTCATCCTCTGTCGCATGGTATGTGCTTCGGCGGCGAGGCTCCGGGCGGGGTTCAGAGCGAGGCTCGGCGCGGAGTTCGGAACGAGGAGTCGAGGACATAAGACCACCAAAAAGGCCGGATATACCTTTCTTGGCGCTAGAATTGGATCGCCTCATGGGCGGTACGTCAGCATAGCCTCTTGCATTCCCCATAGGAACATCATCGTCTGGTTTCGCCTGTTTCGAGTCAGCGAGATTAGAGCTTGAGTCATATTGATGCCTTTTTACCTTTGATCGCCTGCGTGCCGACTTGTCAGGGCTTGATGCAAGATCGCGGGGTTCGACCATGACAATGTCGTCGTCCTCTGGGTCATCGCGCATCCTCGAGGTCCGCCGGCTGCGGCTCTTATCCATCCCTAAAACCCGTGCCGCCTTCGGGGTCGGCTCAGGCATCTCTTCAGGTGGAGGCGATACAAGTCCACCACTCATCTCAAAGGAGTGGCGTCGTGAGCTGGACTTGCCCAAGCGCTTGTCACGTGTTGACATGGAGCGGGAGAGAGGAGGGGTGCTTTGGAAAAGGCTGTTTGTACGCGGTCCAAAATTCGGCGCAGCCTTTAGATCCTGTCGCTCTTGTCGCTCCGCTTTATCCGAGCCTGAACCTCTAGAAGGCGCTTTCTCTTCTCTATCCTTCTTTGGTCTTTTAGCTTCGGATCTAGACTTTGGTGACTTCCTCTCTTCCTTCTGGGGTGTGGCCGCGGCGGACCACGCGCCCCATGACGCACCACCATCACGACTAATCTTGGTTCGTTCTTTTTTAGAGGATCTGGGCTCATCAGGGGGCGATGGAGGCGACAGGGGTGCCGGGGGTGCCGGGGGCGCTTCGGGTACCGCAGGCGGTGGAGGCGGTACGGCGGGTGGCACGGGAGGAAGAGCATTATCCCTTGCCTTACTCTTCTTGCTCTTCTTCGACTTCTTTTCTACAGGTGGTGCAAGATCAATGATTTCGACAATTTCGTCCTCATCGTCAAGGTTATCATTGTTTCTTGATACCTTTTTCTTCGACTTCGACTTAGACTTCCGTTCTGCAAGTGTCATGCCGGGAATATAATCAAGCTTGTCTACCCCTCTAGTATTGTCGCCGTGAACTTGGTCTTCGTCCATTGGGAAGCTGCCGGGAAGGAAGTCATCGTCCCTTTCAGGCGTCTTAGGCTGAGATGGTGGACTTCGCGACGATGATCCTTCAGGGAGCACGTCGATCAGGTCATCTTGTCTTTCGGGCTCAAACTTCTTGAGCGTCTCGGCGAGTTTATTTCCTTTAGCCCTTTTCCCTGGCATCCAGTCGTCGATGATGGCCTTGAAGAAAGTAGGAGGCGCAGCGTCGTCTGCGGTGGCATCTTCTGCAGTGGAATCTTCCAGAGACTTGGCTGATCCATCAATTGGGATCTCATCCGTTGCTGAGTGTTGCACTTCAGGAGATGAGGCTTTCGGAGTGGACCTGGCACCCCAGAATGAGAAAGCGTCCGAGCTTTTGGGCTTCTTTGGCGGCGGTAACTCTGCGAGGATCTCGTCAGCCTGTTCGGCTGTTAGATCCACATTATCAAGATTAAAGATATCGTCGTCGTCTTTCTTTACATTATCAATATTGAGATCGTCGTCGTCGTTCTTCACATTGTCAAGATCTAAACCGTCACTGCTATCCTTCTTCTTGTCCTTGCTACTAGATTTAGATTTCTTGTCCTCGGATTTGGAGCTCTTCTTTGCCTTCTTCTTAGCCGCAGCTGCCTCGGCTGCCTCGGCCGCCTCAGCCGCTTTTCGCTCACGCTCAGCCCTTTTTTCAGCCTTGCGTGCGGCTCGTGCCGCCTCCTCTGCTTCACGTGCAGCCTGGGCGGCCTCTTCTGCTTCACGTGCGGCTTGCTCTTCTGCTTCGCGCGCCGCTTTTGCTTCGGCCTCTCGGTTAGCAGCTTCTTCCGCTTCTCGCGCGGCCTGCCAAGCTGCTCCAATCACAGCCTGAGCAGCCGTACGTTCCGCTTCTAGAATAGCAGAAATAGGGGTAGTAGTAGCAGGAGCAGGCGGAGGAGTAGGAGGGGCAGCGGTACGGGCATTGATCTTCTCGGTAAGCTCGTCGAGTCGCTCTTGATCCTTTTTGGTGAATTTTTTCTTTTTTTTGGATTTCGCGGTTAAGAGTTCAAACTCTTCGTCCTCCGCGGCTTCCTCCTCTTCGCGTGCAGTTTGATCTTCATCTTCAGCCTCGTGGCCGGTTTGTTCAGCAGCTTCTAGCTCTTCTGCCTCGAGGGCGGCCAATTCCGCTGCGTCTCGAGCAGCCTGTTCTTCCTCTTCACGTGCGGCTAGCTCTTCGGCCTCGCGTACTGCTTGCTCCTCGGCGGCAGCTTGTGTATTTGCTTCATCCGCATCTTCAGGACTTGCACGAGTGTTGATTTTCTCGGTCAGTTCATCGAATCGTTTCTGATCTTTTTTACCTAGCTTTTTCTTTTTGGCTTTCGCTTGAAGTGCTTCTAGTTCTGCTTCCTCTGCTGCTGCCTCTCTGGCTTCACGAGCCGCTCGTTTGTCCGCTTTACGTGCCGCTAACTCTTCAGCTTCGCGAGCGGCTTGTTCCTCCGCTTCACGTGCCTCCTTCTCTTCAGCCTCGCGAGCGGCTTCTGCTTCTGCTTCACGATTGGCTAGCTCTTCGGCTTCACGGGCGGCTCGCTCTTTAGCTTCACGAGCGGCTCGTCTTTCTGCTTTACGTGCCGCTAGTGCTTGCTCTTCGGCTTCACGGGCAGCTTGCTCCTCGGCTTCACGAGCGGCTTTCTCTTCCGCCTCACGGGCGGCTTGCTCTTCAGCCTCACGGGCGGCCTGCTCTTCAGCCTCGCGTGCGGCCTGCTCTGCCGCTTCGATTGCAGCTTGTGCATCTCCATTGTCGGATGCGACGTCACCCTTGGAAGCAGC